TCAAATTATTCATTATTCATTTTATTCAAATAAACTTCCAGTGTAATTCAAATACTAAAATTCATAACAAGTAAAACAAATAATTTGAATAAACCCTTATTCAAATAGAAACCCTAATCAAGAAGTATAGTTGTATATAGTGATTTTAATTTAGTTTTCCAGATTTGGTGACTCCATTAACTCTGATTGCATGCTTGCAATATTTATTACAGTTTTACAACTTTAGGGTGTCAATGCTGAATTGTTGTATTGTATATAGTTCAGATAAATCTAAATATAATATTTTGTGATACATATTTGTGACTGAAAAAAAAAAAAGTTCTTTAATTTTTTTTTACAAATATACAAAAACCACAATGGAAAACATTTTGAATAAAAACAAACATCATGACAATACTTCTACTGACAAAATGATGAATATTCAAAGGAAAGAAATAAATATTGTGGGGAATGTCCAACATGCAAAAGATATAATACTTATAAGGCATGGTGTCAATCATGTGATCCAAAGTTGTTAACTGAAGGATGGACTAGTGGCAATGAAACATTAGATGAATTGATTAAACATAATAGGCATTAAGTAAACATGATGTAGGACCTAAACTTTATATCCAATGTATTCTTCCGGAGAATAAAGCTCATTTTGAAAATTTAAGTATGGTTTACAAAAAATCTTTATTTTGCTCTAAAAAAAATCATTTAATAAAATTATCGAAATTGATTATTAAATTTATAAATTATTTTGATCAGATCCTGAAATAATAATATGTATCGATGAATTAAAACTTGCTATACTTGCTCATTCATGTTTAACTCCTGGATTTTCTACTCTTTTGTATGGTCTTACAACATCATTCACTTATGAATCAACTTATGAATTAAGAAACACTGAAGAAAGGTATAATTCATCAATTGGCATGGGAAATGACATCATTGAGGATTATATTGATGGCATTTCTCGATCTATTTACGCCACAAACTTATCAGATTACTTTATTGGCTATAATTTTCTCTCAGCTGTTGGTTAGTAAATTACAAACCTATATGATATTGATGCTAAACTTATTACTTATTATTATATTATTATACACATGTATGAACCCGTAGGTTGTTTATATGAAAGTCTAGGTGTTGTGCTGTTTGCAATCGCTATTCCAAAACAACATTCTACAACGGGACAATCAACCAGTTTGTCATACAACCAAAGTAATTGTGAAGGAGAAAATGCTAAAAATTATATGGTTTTGATCAATCCTGGTGATTATATTCTAAGAGGAGATGAAATTGGTTATATAATTGCTTCTGACAGTGAATTGGCTGATGGTGTTTCCAATTATAAGTGGCACAGTTTACAAATTCGAAACAATGGCAATTTATCTTCTGAGCCACAACAAACTTCTTCAGAAAGACAACCATTATTGTCATCCAATGTTTCAAAAAATAATGTTAGTGTTGGACATAGTGATACAAAGAAAAGGTCAAATCTTTCTAAAAAACCTGATCAACAGTATCATGAGTATCCTCACAAGTCCGATTCTAGTACACTACGTCATCATCGTTCACTTTCTACTCCTCTTGCTTCTGCAGCAGACCACGACCATGATCGTCAACAACAACATCACCACGATCGCCGTATTCATAGCATAGATCCTTCATCTTCTTCTTTAAATGCTTTTCTTGATAATGATCAAATAAATTCAATGCTTGATACAGTTAGTGGACACATACTGTTGTGTGATTATTCAACAGCAACTTTTCCACGTAATTTAGATTGTTTTGTTGGTCCATTACGCAAAGCACATTTGGAAAAGTTCACACCAATTGTAATTCTTTCACCAGTAAGACCTACACAAAGTCAATGGAAAATCTTAAGTCAATTTGATCAAGTGTATATTGTTCAAGGGAATCCAATGACGCGAGAAGCCCTTGATATTGGCAAAATTAAATTTGCAAAACAGGCCGTAAAGCATTTATATTTATTTCAGATTATAAAAATCATTTGAAGTTAATTAATTGTTAACTCAAATTTTCTACCTTCATTATTATTTTAAACATTTAGGTTATATTAACTGATTCCATTGGAATTTTAAAGTATGGATTGTTTTTTTTTAGATATAATTTTACCACCATTATATAATTATGATTTTTTTGTTTATTATTTTTAAATAATTAGGAACGGGGAAAAGACCGAAGATGCACCAGCAATGTTGGTTTACTTGAACATTAAAGCAATGTGTAATGATAAAGATGTTGATATTTTTGTAGAGTTTGTACATATGGATAATATGAAATTTATTTCAGAAGATACATCGGTTATTAATAAGAATATGCAAGGTAATAATATTTGGTCAATAATTTTAAATTTTTTTTTTCATGTATATTTATACTAAAAAAAAGATATTTATATTTATTATAGCACATAATTCACCAGCATTTATGGCAGGGATTTGCTTTTCTTTATCTATGTTGGATAGTATAATATGCCAATCATTCTATCAACCACATATAGTTGCTATAATTCACCAACTACTTTTTGGAACTAACCTCCATTCAGATGCAACTTATTCTGCACCCGCTCATTCACACATCTTTCAAATTCCTGTGCCAGTAAGATTCATAGGTTCACAATATGGATTACTGTTTCAGTTCTTATTGGATGATAAAAAATCTATACCGTTAGGTCTATATCGTAGTAATAAAGCAAAAACACCAAATGGTATGGTCAAATGTTTTAAATATGTATACACTTGTCCTAAATATAATGTAATATTAAAAGAAGATGATAAAGCTTTTGTGTTGAGTAAACGTATTCCATCTGGATTATGATTCTTTATTTTTTTTTGAAAATCAGATACATTTTATGTAAATAGTAATTGAAACAAAAAATAATAAATAAACAATTTTTTCTATATTCCAGCAAATGCCAAGGGGAATGGCTACACAATATAGTAACATTAACTCTATTAACACTTTAATATAAAAAAGTCCTTCATTTTTAAATTTCTAGTCTCGACAAGATCATGCTTGCCTCATTTTCACCTTTATGGCTTAAAATGAAACAGAGTATAAAGATGATGAATTTATCTATTATAAGATGGAGAAATTTGATTATGTTGTTGCCACGCTGATATATTCAATTCACTTGTATAAAGTCCAAGGATTTGGTTTGTGCAACTATTAAATTAGAAATTATATTTATAAAAACTTTTTGATAATGTCTATATACCATTGTAATATGCATGTAAAATCATTAAAATAAAATCACAAACAATCATAGAATTGTAAGCGAAATAATTGTCTCTTTCATTTATTCAAAAAAAATATTCCATATTCCATCAGAATTAACATAATCGTGATATACAATATTAACCAACCACCAAGTTCCACCTAATCCTTTTAATAATTTTTGAGTCTCTGATCCTTTTTTATATAAATATTGCCATTCCTCCCATAAAGCAAATGATTCATCCTATTATACAATCATTAATCATATTATTATCAATTGTTGTTCATTATTTTTTTTTGGAAAAAAATTCTGTACAAACAAATACCTTCCAAGCTTTAAAAGAAACTTCATCGATTATTGTGGGTTGCACTATTTCTTTGCCAGGAAATACACCCCAAGTTACTGCAGAAGACTCGTCATCATTATTATTGGTTTTAAAATGTCCCTAATAATAATAATAAATATGTATGAATATATGTACGAGTGCATATGTTTTATAAATAATAATAATAAGATCAAGATCTTGCTTGTTTATCAGCTGCATAAAAAGTAACCCATGGATTTCCTAATAATTTTTCAATCAAATTATCCAAAATTTCTTTGCTAACAAAAAATTCCACAAAAGCTTTTTGATAAACATATCCATCTTTCGGACCCCAACCAAACACACTATCGTCACTTTTTACTCCATTTACAGAAGGTTGAGAACTTATTGTTAAATACCCCAGTTCATTTAATTTTATCAAATTCGACCTAATAATTTCAGATTCTGGTAATAAAGGCTCTTCTGACCATGGTAATGCTGGTATATCACCAAGTACGTAAGACTTAAATATTTCTATGATATCCGAGATAGAAGTTGGTTCCTTCCAATATTCTAATGCCATTTCTGCCTACATATGTGGATGTGTGTGCACAATACTCAATTCAGTGTATTATATGTACGTCGTTCACTGTAATAAATGTCAAGAAAACTTACTGTAATTCTCGAGGATACTCCAAATCCATTCAATTCACCAAATGCTAATAATAAATAATAATATTCAATGTTTAAATATATATATATATATATATATATATATATATATAATAGAGAAATAAAATAAAATA